TGTGTGTGTGTGTGTGTGTGTGTGTGTGTGTGTGTGTGTGTGTGGCTTGCAAACTCATTGCAGTCTCACAGTGAGCTAAGTCATAACATTGGGTGCACACGGCACAATCTTTCAAGATATATTCTCTTAAAGGCAAGGTTTAAAAACAATACACCTTGTCCCAGATTCCAACAATGGGCTCAATTCTGCTCTGTCTCCTCACAGAAATACACCCAATGAAACAATAACTGATCCAGGCAAGCTGTCCCTAATCTTGATATTTCAGCCATGCTTCAGACAAATCCCAACCAAACTTACACTTCCTTTATGTGATATGATTGCACTTTGTATTAATTGAATTTTCTCCAATGAAAAACTTTCATTTCAGTAAGAGCAAAGGTTAAAAAAAAATGATGTGAGAATTTTGGTCATTTTTCTTTCTGATATAGATAATTTATAGAAGTCATTTGGCAATGGTCTAGTGATCATAGAAACCCTACAGTGTGGAAACAGGCCATTTGGCCCAACAAGTTCACACTGCCCCTCTGAAGGGCATCCCACCCTGACCCATTCCCCTACCCCTACATTTCCCTGGTCTAACCCACCTAACCTAAACACCCCTGGGCACTATAGCATGGCCAATCCACATCTTTGGACTGTGGGAGGAAACCAGAGCACGCGGAGGAAACCCACGCAGACACAGGGAGAATGTGCAAACTCAAAACCAGATAGTCACCCAAGGCTGGAATTGAACCTCGGTCCCTGGTGCTGTGAGGCAGCAGTGCTATCCACTGAGCGACTGTGCCACCCCTATGATATTATAGCTAGACTATTAGTCCAGACACTAGGTAATATTTTGGGGACACAGCTTTGAATCCTGCCACTGCAGATGGTGGAATTTGAATTCAATAAAAATCTGGATTTAAGAGTTTAATGATGACCATGAATCAGCAATTGTTGATTGTCAGGAAAATCTCATTTGGATTCACTAACGTCCATTAGAGAAGGAAATCTGCCATCCTTACCTCGTCTGGCCTACATGTGACTCCAGAACCACAACAATATGGTTGACTTTTAACTGTTGTCTGGACAGCTAGGGATGAAGAATAAATGCTGGTCCAGCCAGTGATGCCCACATCCCATGAATAAATAAAAAAATGTTACTCACCAGAAGAGAAGGATTTGATCTGTGTAGCTGACCAACTTCAGCTTGAGCACAATGACAAACTAGCAACAGCAACAGCCAGAATAATATTGTCTTAAGTTGGGGCATTATTCCAGATATCTAAAACAATAGAAATATTGACATGAATACAGAAAGCAAAGAAAATACATAAGTAGAAAACCACAGTATAGTTGCAAAAGCAGAATACTGCAGAGACTGGAAATCTGAAGCAAAAGCAGAAAACATTCTTGGCATATCTGAACAAACCTCTGGATGGACAAACTGAGAAACATTTCAGCACAGGAGAAACTGTTCTGAAATAATATATTTTCTGTTTTAACAATTGCAGTATATAATCATCTGAATAATTTAATTATAATGAAAGTGATGCAAAATCTGCAACAGTGTGGAGCCAGTCTGTGGTGAGTTACAAAGTGCATTTGACAAGAGTGTCTCATGATTATGATGTTTCTGGTGGTGAAGTGATGTGATCGGGACAAGTCACATGAAGATTTCTGACTGGTGTCGCATTGCTTGTATTTCTTCTCTTCAACATTGCAACATTGCCTAACATGTCCCTAACTCTACATGTTTCTTCGTCAAGTTTCTGATCAACTTCACTTGTGCGCTTTCCAATTTTCACATCTGCTTTTTTTTCAGTTGTAAGTGAAATATAATTTCTTAAACTCTGCAAAAGCTAATTGATCCTTCTCACGCTACTCAAACTGGGAGCAGAGCTTAAAATCTAACTAACGTCCTTTTACAAAATCAGGAAAAAAAAATACAAGACTTCATTTCCCATGGTTTTGCCCCCAGAGGGCAGCATCACTCAAAACTTTCACAATGACATTCCTACTGTACTGCCACCTAGTGATTGTCCACATTGTGAACAGAATCACATGAGTATGTTAGATAACAAGGTGTAGAGCTGGATGAACACAGCAGGCTAAGCAGCATCAGAGGAACAGGAAGGCTGACGTTTTGGGCCTTGACTCTTCTTGTTGCTTAGCTGCAGCTGATTACTGCATTCATGTATTTCAACAAAAGCAGAATGTTGCAGAATTTAGAATGACAGACAGAAAGTTTTGGCAGCACCGAGCAAGTTACTCATGTTCATTCATGGGATGTGGGTGCACCGGCTGGGTCAGCATTTTTATCTCTAATTGTCCTTAAGAAGGTTGTGGTGAGTTGTCTTCTTGAAATGCCATAATCCATCTGGTGTAGATTTAAGTTTGATTTATGGTCAGCTACACAATTGGAAATTATTCAAAGTTGTCTTGTTCAAACTTTCTTGCTTTGTTCTTCAATGGGATTATGATTTAAATATAAGCGTGTGGAGGCTGTCAAGAGAATGGATCAGGATTGAAAGTATTATGGTCAAGGAGAGGGCTCCAGGACATTGACCCAGGGATACTAAAGGAATGGCAAATATTTCCAAGTCAGGATGGGGAAATTGCAGGTGCAGGCTGCAGCCCACGTCCTTCTAGACAGTAGTTGACTTAGGTTTCAATAATGATTTCTGCAGTACATCATGTAGATTGCACATATTGCTGTTACTGAGTGTTGGCGGTAGAGGGAATGAATGTTTTCGGATGCAGTTCTGACCCTTTCCTTATGTCTGTGAGCACAATATCCTAATTTGTTATAAACAGACCCTGGTGAAATTCCCGGAGTTAGATGTTACCCCAAATTGTTAAGCCTCCATGTGAGAAGGGATGAATTGGCTCACCTTCTTTATTCCCGCACTACTTCAAGTGGTTGCAGCAAGGTTAGCTTATAAAGGATCACATCCTTTTGGTTGCCTTTCGCTCATAGATGAGTGAGTTTGTAAGTTACTTATAGAACCTCATAAAGGTATAAATAACTCAATACACATATGTATGTTTATATGTTTGAATAAACACAAATTAAAAATATTAAGTGAGTCCAAAAAAAGATAAAAGTTAAAAGAGAGTCCTTCTTGTCCCATTTCCTTACTACTTGCTTACTAGCTAATTAGCTTCCAGTACCACTCTGAGTAAGAGTCTTTCTATCTGCAATGCAGGGGGTGATTAGTTATTTATACTTCAACTGTGACCATCACACTAGTGCTCGAACCAAGGCTAGTACACATGAACCTTGGTTCAGTAGCACACTTTCTCTCCTAGCACACATGAATGCCAGGGTTGTTGTCAGTAATAGGCCTTGTTTTCGTATATTCCTGCAAGGTCAAAATACGAAAACTATCTGCAAGAGGTGGCTTTCTATTGAGAGAGCCAAGAGAGTTAGGCCATCCTTATCACTTCCTGTGTCTTATCCTTATGTCTTCCTCTCTATTTGATATTTCCCTGACATGCTGTCAGAGTGACATTCCAAGGGTTCCACACAGGGCTTTCCCAGACCACAGTGAATTTACAAGTCTAGTCTTTTTTATGCCTGTAGCAGACCACTTTAAAAAAACACATTTTGCAATTAAAAGTTAGGTCTATAATACGTTCAGTCCTGATCCATTCTCTTGACAGCCTCTGCAAGCTTCTATTTAAATCATAATCCTTTTGAAGAACAAAGCAAGAAATTTTGAACAAGAGAACTTGGAATAATTTCCAAATGTGTAGCCGACCATAAATCAAATTTAAATCTCCACCTTAACAGACATGATTATTTTCAATGAAAGTATTTGCTTACTATGAATGTTTCATTCAGAAAGCATTCTTCTTTGCGATTGCATCTTACATATTATCTTTTTTTTATATTCAGAAACATAACAGTTCAGTTGAGCACGTTTCCTGAACTGAGTCATCTCTGGCAGTACTGTGCTATTGATGAGTTGTGCTATAGATAAACTGTCTCCTAAATATAATGCAGAACTGACAGACTGTGATCTCTATCCAGGTAAACCATGTTTATGGTTTCATGTTGCAGCAATTCACAAAGATTTTCTCTAAGATGATACAAATAGTTATATTTTAAAATTAGCAGAGCCCAGGTAGTTTTGGCTAGCACAAAGAACTAGCCATTTGGTTACAAAATTGGCTCAAAGGTAGGACACAGAAGGTGGTGGTGGAGGGTTGTTTTGCAGATTGGAGGCCTGTGACCAGTAGTGTGCTGGAAGGACTACATTTTATCATTTATATAAATGGTTTGGAAGTGAATGTGGGAAGAATGGTTAGTAAGTTTGCAGGTGACACCAAAATTGGTGGAGTAGTGGACGACAAAAAAAGTTACCTCAGAGTACAACGGGACCTTGATCAGATGGGCCGATGAGTGGCAGATTGAATTTAATTTAGATAAATGTGAGGTGCTGCATTTTGGACAGGGAAATCAGGGCAGGACTTATACACTTAATGGTAAGGTCTTGGGAGTGTTGCCAAACAAAGAGATCTTGGGGTGCAGGTTCATAGTACCTTGAAAGTGCAGTCACAGGTAGACGGGTAGTGAAGAAGGCGTTTGGTACACTTGCCTTTATTGGTCAGTGCATTTATTCTAGGAATTAGTAGGTCATGTTGCAGCTGAACAGGCTATTGGTTAGGCCACTTTTGGAACAGTGCATGCAATTCTGGCCTCCCTGCTATTGGAAGGATGTTGTGAAATTTGAAAGGGCTCAGAAACAATATACAAGGATGTTTCCAGGGTTTGAGCTATAGGGAGATGCTGAATAGGCTGGGGCTTTTTTTTCCCTGGAGCATCGGAGGCTGAGGGGTGACCTTATAGAAGTTTATAAAATCATGAGGGGCATGGATAGGGTGAATAGTAAAGGTTTTGCCCAAGGGTAGGGAGACCAAAACTAGAGGGCATAGGTTTAAGGTGAGAGGGGCAAGATTTAAAGGGGACCTAAGGGGAAATATTTTCATGTACAATATGGTGTGTGTTTGGAATGAGCTGCCAGAGCAAGTGGTAGAGACTGGTACAATTACAACATTTAAAAGGCGTCTGGATGGATATATGAATAGAAAGGGTTTCGAGGGAATGGGCCAAATGTGGGCAAATGGGACTAGATTTATTTAGGATAGCTAGTCGGCATGGATGAGTTGGACTGAAGGGTCTGTTTCTGTCTTTATGACTCTATGACAAGAAGTAATAATGTGTCAGCGCTCTAATAATTGCTTCAATTGCAGTTACACAACTGCCAGTGCACGATCTTATTGTGCATCTTGCCAAGTTTTTCTAGTTCAACCACAACACTGACATCAAACTGACAAGGTGGAAAATCACTGAGGAATGCCCTTTCCTTAAGAAGTAAGGCAATTCCAAACCAATGCTGCCCTTTCATCAGCCGAGTGGTGGAAACTGTCACCAACAGTGATAGCAAGTGATAATTACTCAGCCCTAACCTGCTTAGTTTGGGTTCTGCCATAACTTCTTTGAGTAGGCAGCGAAGAGGGTATTTAGGGTTAATGGTGTTGGGGGTTGGCATTTGTCAGAGTGAGTGAGGGAAGATATTGCAGGCAATAATGGGAGTGGCAGTGCAGAAGCCTTGTTAGTTGGGTACAGTGGCAGAGATAAAGTGAGTGTGAGGTTTTGGAGGGAGGATGGTGGCACTTACACTGGCAGAGTGGAGAAGGTCATTAACCTTCTTTCTACAGCGCTGGGCATTCCTGCAGATGGCTGAGATTGCCACTAACACTGGTGACAATTTGAACCAGGCTGTCATGGTTTGGTGTCGTGGCCTCGTCTGCTTGTCCTGTGGGAACAGGAGGTCCCACCTGCACAGCACCCCATCCAGCGGGACCTCCACATCCCTGCCCTGCAAAACAGGGCAAGTGTCAAGATCCATGCAGGGCAGCTCCAGACTGACTGTACTTGTCTGGATGCACAACAACCTGTTAAAGACGGTACTGGCACCAGAGATACTGGTCAATTCTGGGATATCCCAGCAGTGGCAATCTGTTCTAGGAATGTCATATGGTAAGACAGGGTGAGAATCAGGCATGAAGGGCAACAAGGAAGTAGAGTAGGTATTTTATACAGCACATTTGCTAAGATCTGGTGAGAAATCTCATTAGGTCTTGCAGTGAAAAGCCCTTCAAAAACATCAAGGAAACTCGTACATTGTCAAAAAGACATAAAATTCAGCCCAGGGTCTTTCAAGAACATCATTCAAATCAAATCTCTCCATATTTGACATAAATAGAGTGAATAGC